CGGACGATACGTACGTACTTGTCGACGATCTCATGCAGGTACAATAAATTCTTGTTATTTTTGGTTAATTAAGTCTTTCGATTAAGGATCTGGCTGCTTTTGATTCTGATGAGCCATATCTCGCTGTCATCGGACCAAACGACTTTGAAGAGGTTTGATACTTTGAGCTTTGACAGCCACCAGTCAGCATAAATTTCCCGCTCATTCATTAAAATAAGAATATGTAGCAGGAAAATGAGTCTTATCAATCAATGAGTGTAATTTGAATAGCCAATGCTGCTTTCATAGATGGAAGTTATTTTCAACAAAATTGTTTCAGAACTGTCTGGAAGGAAATTTATTTTCAGTTTTTCGTAATTCCGCTTTTCTAGAACTTCAATTCAACGAGTCTTCACCTCCAAAATAAAGAGATTTTAGATCTTCATTTATTTTAAACCTGTTGAGGTGTATGAGAAGGACATAGTTACCGTTACATACGATGAGAACAAAATTGATATTCATGATAGCAATATGACAGTGCAAGTTGGTCACTTCTCCATCATCGAATTATTTAGAAACAAAAACTCTAAACAGGCCATTTACGGTGAATAATATGGACGCCCATAACCATTTTTTCGCAGAATATTATCGGTGCATAGGTTTTTTGCGATATTCGGCTCTGGTCACAAAATGGATAAAAATTTCTCCATTAGGAGTGTATGTAGATTTCGAGAGAAGCATAGGTATTCGTTCAAACAGTTTTGGGATAAATGACACTCTGAGAAAATCACTCTGAGAGGCCATTTCGTAAATTTGAGTTGCAAGGAAAACTTCGGCGAGTAAGGAGTGTTGCCCTGCTACTATTCCTAATTCAAAATAAAAGGTTAAAATTATACATTGTTAATCTCTCCGTCATCTTTGCCCTCCTAAATCTGAGGGACTTTCGTTTTGTATCGGACTCATGGTTGCAACAGGCTGCGGAAGCCTTGATCGAAAAGAATTCCTCAGAAAATTGGTTACGAAAATTATAATTTTCTCGAATGAAGACCATTTATCGACTTTGCAGAACATATTACGTTCTCTGGAGGGATTTTAGGATCTAAGCAACCGGAATAGATTCTGTGTGTTACATTATTTGAATCCCCATAGCCTCAATTCATTAGATACTTTTGATTTCAAATTAACAGTTGAGTATAGCTACCGTAATATATAGTCTACTAGCATCAAAACGCTCGATTGCTGCTCATGGCATTCATCCACTACCACCTCATCTACCCGACCCTATTTTCCCTCAAATTCGTTTCTTTCTTTATTTGTACTGATGCAATTGAAAACTCTATTATCTACAGAGCTGTTCGGAACGACTGCATTCTATGATTGTTGTATCGAGAGGAGCAATGACAGCTTTATGGGACAGCATCCACTCTGGGCGAAATGGGTGTGGAGTGGCAAGCTCCCCACATTTGTGTTTGGACGACATCGTCATCTTGAATCTCAAAGAAGACGCTCATGAGAGATCCAGGTAAGGAAAAGTTGGTATGCAAGCTTGATGTGGGGTCAAAGTGCAAATTTTCTAATAGCTAGAACAGCGTCAAGTTTTCCACGATTCTCAAAGTAGAGTTTCTTACTTCAATTCAGATACTTCGTACTTCACAGACACTTCTCAAAATTTGAAATAATTCACTATGTCAGACACAATGGACGCTACAACGATGGTTCACAGGTTTGTGCGTTCACAAAGAGACCTCAAGAAGCCATTCGCGCTGAAGTGTGCGAATAATCAAATTCTTAATTGTGACAATTCTTAATTGTGACAACTTCAAGTAATCTAGAAAAAGCATAGGGTGTCCCAAAAAATGTGAACACTGTTTGATCGTTA